CCCCTTTATTTAGCCTCATATGCGTGTGACTTATTTAACAAAAAGGACCATAGCTGCACGTTTTTATGAGTTAAGGGACTACTAGTCATGGATTTTTAGTTGGAGGACCATTGCTCCTATTGGATTAATATAATGTCCTATTTCTTGTATCCTTCAACATGAAAATGTCACTCTTACAAGGAGTAGAATTGTGTATTTGAAGTTGTATCAACACAAGTTTAGATGATGCTCAAATATTCGCTACTACAAAAAACAGTTTGCGCGATGAAATAAGATTTGTTGCGCAAAGTATGATTTCGTTGCTCAAAACCTTGTGCGACGGATTTTTTGTCGCACATGGTTCGTCGTGCAAAGCTCGTGAAGATAGGGTTTGGGCGATGAAGATTAATCTTCATCACGTGAAGGTACTTTATTTGTCGCGCAAAGATTTTGGTTTTCAATTTTTTTTCATTAATTTAATATTTTGCGCGATGAAATATTTTGTCGCGTGCGACGAAATACTTTGCAACTCAAGATTTTTCGAATTTTTACTTTTTAATTTAATTTAATTATATGATTTTTTTTTAATTACTTTAATTTTGTTTATACCATATTTAGGGCCTCGTATTTAGACCTCGTATAAATACTCGGGGGACTTAAATGTAATTATGTAATAAAGGAATGGGCAAATATGTAATAAGTGAGGAGTCCTTATTCTATAAAATGACCCCTTACCCTCACAATTGAAGGGAGGCTCATTCTTGCCCGAGGCCAATTCCCAAGCCTCTCACCCTCTCTCAAAGCTCTCACATTACAGAGCTCATTCTCTCTCTCTCTCCCTCAGATAAATACATATTCAGTGTGGACGTAGCCTAAACCTTGGGGTGAACCACGATACATCTTGTGTTATTTACATTACTTGCAGATTCACGGTCGGATTTACGTTGTACCAAGACCTCCGATTTTGTGCATCAACATTTGGCATCGTCTGTGGGAAATGACACAAAAAGCTATGTCGGTTCTCTTCATTTTTTCATCTCACCACCGTGAGACCTCACCACACTCCACGGTGAATTTGCAAAATCACAAAAACCCAATAAACCAGTCCATCTCTCTCTCTCTCTCTCTTATTCAGTTGGTCTGATCAATTCTGCAGAATAAGGCTATAGGATAGTGAATTAACAGGTTGAATGGGAATGGCAAAGTCTTCCTCCGCCAAACCGCTTTTTAAAATTGTTTTCTTCTGCTTCGTCGCGCTATTGGCAATCATTCTCGCCACAGCCTTGGCGTGGACTTTATTACGTGACGCAACGGTCAGCCTTGAATTCCCTGAGTTCCGGGTCGACTTGGTAGCCATGTCGCTATGCCCACTCACCGCCACGTCTAACAACGACTACTTAACCGCCACGTGGGACCTGACGCTAGTTGCTATAAATCACCATTAGCAAAGGCTGCAGCGCTCTGCACTCAACCTTAAGATCACCGACGGCCGAGACTTCTCAACAGCCAACAGCAAAAGCAGCGACCTCAAGATCTACGTCTAAGATGACATGAGTCTCTAGAAAGCTCGACTGCTTGAAGAGAACTCGATGAGAGTTCGAGCTCGCCGTTCACGCAGATCTACTGGAGCAGGGAGACATGGAGCAAATTAATGTGAATGAGAGGATAACTGCTTTGGAGCGAATCAATCCAACACCACGTCCTACAACCTACCCAAGTTGCCTTTTTTGGAAGGACGATGGAATTTTGAGTTTGGATCTGAAAGCCCAGGTCCTTTTGTTGCCAGATTTTTTGTTTTAGAGGTTTCCTTCAACTTTGGCTAGTTTGAAGAAAATGCAGGTGGTCATCAAGGATGGGAATGCAATGATTAAGGCAAAATTGACAGTGTTGAACTCGTGTATGTTTCGAGCAAGTTGGTCGTGTTTGCATCAGAACCTTGGATTGCATGTGCAATTTGTTTAGCAATTTTAGTTGTGGACAGCAACGCATGTTTGCTTTCCGTGGCTTTCTACTTTGGTGCCAGATTCGGTTTTTGACAAGATTGAAAGCGCAGGGAACAGAAACAAAAGCAGAAAGCAAAAAAGAGAAAAGAAGACAGAAACAAAAGCAAAAGCAAAGCAAAAAGAGAGAAGAAAATCTGAAAGATTGGGTTTTTTACTGAGCACATGCAGGATAGCAGCGCAGAGACAAATACAGAGAGAGAGGTGTGGTGGAAAAGCAGAAAGCAAAAGTAAGGAATAAACACCCCACCAGAATGATGTGATTTACTTTTCTTATTTTTATGATATATTTTTCCTATCTTTAGAAAACATCTGTATAAACCCCATCAGAGGATAAAAAAAAAAAGGCAAAGCCCAAAATAAATGGTTGACATGTTGTGGAGGGCGAAGGCCCATAAGTCCAAAATAGCTCCAACCAGGTGATCAAAAGTACGCCCAGTACTCCAAAATTATTCGGCAACCTGCCGCTATTACCATTACTCAGGTGACCAAAAGTACGCCCAGTACTTCACAATTATTCGGAAACCTGCCTTTATTATCACCAACCAGGTGACCAAAAGTACGTCCAGTACTCCAAAATTATTCGGCAACCTGCTGATATTACCACCAACCAGGTGATGAAATGTACAACCCGTACTCTTCTTCATGCCACCAACCAGATGATCAAAAGTACGCCCAGTACTCCAAATTATACATGAGCATTACTCATGTCATTCATACATAAACATTCATGAGCATTACTCATGACAATCATACATAAACATTCATGATCATCATTCATGTCAACATTCATAAGCATCACTCATGTTAACATTCATGAGCATCACTCATGACAACATCCATGAGCATCACTCATGTCAATCAACATAAACATTCATGAGCATCACTCATGTCAATCAGCTTCAAAAGCTTCATTTACAGAGCTCTAGCTTCAAAAGCGTCATTTACAGAGCTCTAGCTTCAAAGCTTCACTTGCAAAGCTTCACCTACAAAGCTTCAGTGCAGAGTATACAAATACAACCTCCGAACAACCGCCACTTCGGCCTATACATGGATTCAATTTGAAGTCTCTAGCCAACAGACTCTATTGACCGAAAACTTGGGGGACTACACTATACACCATATATTAGGCCTCAACTGGGCCTCGTGAAAAATACTTAGGGGATTCTAGCCCATTATTTATGTACTGAGGAACGAGCCCTTATTTTATAAAAAAGACTCCCTCACCATCATTAGAAAGCACCCATTATTCATGTACTAAGGAGCGAGCCTTTATTTTATAAAAGGGACTCCCTCACCATCATTAGAGAACATCGCTGCCAGCTAAGCAACCGCCTCACCGCAAGCATCACTCCTAATCCATCACTTATGTATTGAGGAGCGAGCCCTTATTCTATAAAAGGGACTTCCTCACTATTATTAGATAGCATCGCCGCTAGCTGAGCAACCGCCTCACCGCGAGCATTGCTCCTAACCCATCATTTATGTATTGAGGAGCGAGCCCTTATTCTATAAAAGGGACTCCCTCACCATCATTAAAGAGCATCAACTCTAGCCCATCATCCATGTATTGATGAGTGAGCCCTTATTCTATAAAATGGACTCCCTTACCTTTAAACGCCAAAAGCAAAGCCAACCAAGGCAACATAAGCCACGAGCCGAGCAGCCTCGCAACGTGTGATACTTCTAGTTGAGCATCATTTCAGATTGAGCACCGCCTCATACCGAGCATCAGTTCAAGACAGCATCTAGTTACTTCGGCCCACACATGAACTGAATTTCAAGTCTCCAGCCAAAAGACTTTCTTAACTGAAGACTTGGGGGGCTACTGTTTATACCATATTTAGAGCCTCGTATTTAGACCTCGTATAAATATTCGGGGGACTTAAATGTAATTATGTAATAAAAGAAGGGGCAAATATGTAATAAGTGAGGAGTCCATATTCTATAAAAGGATCCCTCACCCTCACAATTGAAGGGAGGCTCATTCTTGCCCGAGGCCAATTCCTAAGCCTCTCACCCCCTCTCAAAGCTTTCACATTACAGAGCTCCTTCTCTCTCTCTCTCCCTCAGATAAATACATATTCAGTGTGAATGTAGCCCAAACCTTGGGGTGAACCACGATACATCTTGTGTTATTTACATTACTTGCAGATTCACGGTCGGATTTACGTTGTATCAAGACCTCCGGTTTTGTGCATCAACAAATTTAAATTGACATATTCAAAATAAAATTTCGTATGAAAAATAGTGATCAAATTATCCATAATATATATTACATTAAAAATGTATATATAAGTTAACAAAGTATAATAATAAAATCCTAATACAAGTCTATTGTGGTGGTGGTGGCGATGAATATGGTCCGATAGCATCCTAATCCTCAACTCCTCAATTTTCACCATCAAAGCCCCAACGATTCCCTACAAAAAAAAAAAAAAAAAAACATGGTCACATAACCAGAAATTAATACAAAAAATTGGCATAATCTCCCCTAAAATAGGCATACCCCAAATCTGACCCCAAACTCCACCCCTCACCCTATACCCAACCCTAAACCCATAATTAACTCCCAAAAAACATATATTAATGAAAAATAAAATAAAATATAGAGATAAAATACCTTTTGGCAAGATTGAGAGTGAGTGAGAGATAGGAAAAGAGGAGAGATTGAGAGGAGATAGTGAGAGAGAGAGGAGAGAGTGAGTGAGGGTGAGAGATAGAAAGAGGAGAGATTGAGTGTGAGTGTGAGGAGTGATGTGTATTTTGTTGCGTAAGGGTTTTTCTTTATTAGTGATTGTAAGACGTATTTTTTGTGAAGCTGTCTGGCAATGCGTCAAGCCGGTCAGTTAGACCGTCCTGTCCTAGTTCCTCTTGCTACATACCCTTCCACTATCTCAGTGGCATTGTAGTGAATATGGCTTTTAACTATGACTCTTATCGTCTCCATGCCAATCATGCAGGGCCTTGCAAGGGTCCCATCACTCTCCACCCTTTAGCCAAACAATAAAACAAATCTAAATAAATCTCTCGTTCTCTCCATGAGCTTCTCTCTTTGATCTTTTGGGCACTCTGTTTTTTGACTTAGAACATCCCTCCTCACACTCTCACAGGCAAAAACTGCAACAACAATAAAAGCACGGGAAAGCATCACTCCCTCCATCCCTGAATTTTCAATCTCCCTACTCACTCTTTATTTACATCACCGTATCAATCCCTCTCCCAGGTAGCCCAGTTCCTAACCTGCGCACCTCCTCCTCAGGTGATGGGCGTACTGCGCCGCTCCCGCCACCGCCACCACAACCACCATTATATAAGGCCATCAACTGTCATCACAGCCTTCACTTTTCTCCTGTTCACCTCAGCCTCAACGGCAGTAACCAGTCAAACCCAACTCGGTAAGCAACTTAGTAACAAAACCACACCACACCGAAACAACGAGTAACAAAACCACACCACCGAAACAACTAATTACTAACCTCCTTTTGAGTTTTGACTCGTTCAGTAGTGAATCGGTTCTGTTGAGCTTGAACTCGTGATGATAAAATGATTTTTTCAGGAGGTGGTGGGCATCATCATCATCATTATCAAGGTGAAAGCGGGCCAGCATTGGAGCGAGTCGTGACCCACCAAAAGATTCGTCTGGGTTCATCGCCACCAAGTTGCAGATCCAAGTGCGGGAGCTGCTCGCCGTGTAAGGCAGTTCACGTCCCCATCCAACCAGGTGTCTCGATACCTCTCGAGTACTACCCCGAAGCTTGGCGCTGCAAGTGTGGCAGCCATCTCTTCATGCCCTAGTAAATTAATTAAATTAAAACCTTTTTAATTTAATTTTTATTTAATTACACTAGTAGTATATAGTATAGTCCAATTTCTTTAGCTTTTAAAAAATCTGTTAGTAATTATTATTATTATTATTAAACCTTTTTTCCCCAGTATTTGGTCACTGACTGCATATACTGATTATTATTGTTGTTGCTAAACGTGGGGAACAAGTGAAGTGGTGAGAATGTAACATTTATATTTTTGTTTTTTTTTATTAATTTTGCATTATTGCTGCAAGTTAAATTATTATGGACAGAAATAAAGTTGAGGTCATATAAAATAATAAAACATGCGTTAGTTTATTATTGGACAGAATTAAAAAGTAAGCACTCACTACTGAACTAAGTATTCAAGTATTATTTGAATTTTATGTTTTAATATATGCGATATGTAGTGTATCACTTTATTTTATGTTTCGAACATAATAAAAAAAAATTCAATATCATGAGCTTATTCTTATTTTTCTCTCTCTAGAGTCTAGAGTACTCTACTTACACTAACTCCAGCGGTTGAGTTAAAAACTAGATTTTGTGCCCAAAAATTTAGGTTATAACACATAAATAACTTTTCTTCTTCAATAGTTTTGATTTAAAATTTTAGTCCAAAATTATTAAAGAATGGTTTTAGCCTAGGTAACTTTTTTAGCCGTTGAATTTAATTTTGGGTTGTTAGATCTTCTTTTTACTAATAGATTTGCTCATATTTGATCTCAACCATTGAATTTAATGTATTTATAAATTTGATTGTAAACAAAATTGAATATACAGTCAAACTACGTCGGTTGTCCAATAAAAAAAAGCAGTCATTGGTCTTTCCGCAAGTAGCCAACAACATCAATAACTAGGTCGTAGCCATTGACCTTTTTTAGCCCAAGGATTAGAGAAGCTTTGGGTGAGTTTAAAACTAGATGTATTCAATTGCGAATTTGAAGGATTTTAATGGATTTATAAATTTATAGATTTTGATGGAGTTTAATTGATTTGTGGAGATTCCATGTAAAATTTTGATTCAATTCCTTCGAAATCTCAGAAGGAGATGTGAGATTTGTGAATGTTTAAAATACACTATGAAATCTCTCAAATTCCTAAACTTTTTAAAATTCTTTAAAATAAATTCTTAATTGAATAAATCTAGAATATTATAAACTTCTTTAAAATCCTAATTGAATACACTTGGATTTCTAAGGATTTTAATAAACTATCTTAAAATCCTAATTGAATATAAGTTGACTTTCAGTGAATTATTTAGAATCTTAATTGAATACCCCTAAATTCATTAAAAGAGTTAAATTTCCTTAAAATTTCAATTGATGCACCCCTTTAAATTTTGAGTTTAAACCAACCATTAAAATTAGTCGAGAGATGAAAAGGGTATGATTTTTTTTTGCTTTTTCGAAAGGGTCTAATTTTTCTTTCTCTCCCTTTTTGGTTTGTTTTGTTACTTTTGTTGTTATGATCCATAAAATAATGGGAGCATTTTTTTTCACCACCATTTAATGTGGTGTATGCTTAGCATCATATTTATCACTGTTAGATGAGTTTGAATTTCGAGATTTGTGTAGTGAATAAGCACAAATCTCAAAATCCAAACTCGTCTAACGGTAATAAATAGGGTGATGAACATATACCATACTAAATAGTGGTGAGCAAAAATGCACTCTAAAATAATAGGTAAAAATTTCTGAAGTACGGAATATTTGCTGAAATATAATTTTGAATGTATACGGGGACATACAGCTGGGCCTTTTTGCACATATTGCTGTATTTCAGTTCGATTTTAGGTAGCTGAAATCGGGAAAAGAGGAGGTACAGTACTCTGCTCAACTTTGTTATGTTTTTTTTTTTTTTTTTGGTTTTGTTTTGGAAGAGGTTTTAATTGTTTTTTCTCCATGCAGTGTGGTTTATTATTTTAGCTACCAGCTGTAGAGAGAGACGTCAAATGTGTATCATCATTCGTGTTCATCATGTACAACAGCTAGTAGGAACTACTATTTCTGCATTCAGACGTCTATATAGCGTTTAATTTACTGATAAGAATTCAAAACGTCTGTTCTTCGAAGTTCACATCCGGAAACGGATCATCTCCATATCCCTTTCCACCTAATTCATCAAGTTCGTGATCTGAATTGTTGAAATTTGATTCAACGGTTATAAACAAAGAACACCTTTAAAAGTTATAATAACCGTAACTATTTGATCAAATTTCAATGATTTGGATCTCGAATTTGGTAAATTAGGTAGAAATAGATCCGGAGATGAACTTTTTCCTTCACATCCTAAGCCCTAATAGCATTATACATTGACCGTAGATGTTTTGTAGATCCATAAATATCGACGGCCAAATTCAACCCCCGCACGCGATGGTTTCTAGTCATACTCATATCATATGCATTACTCAGTTACGTACCCAAACTACCTTTCAATCTCTGTGTATAAAGTCAAGGACTACGGTATATATAATCTCTTTGGCTGTTGAGGGGGGATATGCTTACGACAGCATATGGGAAAAAACCTTTTATTTTCCGTACCTGCTTGGCTGCTTATTTATTTTGTTACCAAATTACGTTGTCTCCGCTCACACTCCAAGCATGAAAAATTAAGTACTCCCTGGGTAAGGCCATCTCTAACAGAAGGATTTAGAGGGTCAGATGACAGAAAATAGTTCTAAAACCGTCTCCAACCGAGGATCAGACCAAATGGCTAGTGGGCCTAACTGGACAAAAAGGGCCAAAGGGCTAACCGACCAGCCCAAATGAGCTAGCTAGCCGGCCCCGAGCTAGGCTAAAAAATTTGAATCTCAACGGCTAGCTGACGCTAGCCGTTATTTTTGAATTATTATTATTTTTTACAGTTTTTTTTTTGGCCAAAAATTTAAAAAGAATATTTAATTAAAGCCTAAAAAGGTGATTGGTTCTATGTGTGGATGTTGCTTTTATGAACATGTTTGATTGTTCAAGCCTCTCCCACAACGGATTTGGGACAAATATAATGGGTGCCCCAAATATATGCTTCCGATTAGAGATGGTAAATGTGCATTTAATTTAAGTTGTTGTAGTTTTTAAATTTAAATAATATGTTTGACCCTATGCCCTTTGACCCTTGGTTGGAGATGGTAAGAAATATGATCATGCACTGTTCATTAAAATATTAATTTCTTGAATGACCAGAGGTTGAAAACGAGCTATCTGACCAGCCTTCAGTTAGATATAGCCTTTAAGTTGTTCCACTTTCATCTCTTGGTCGTCTTTGTCCAAGTGGGTCCACCCATCATTTGTTAACGGCAGACCCTGCAGATCTCCACAGCGACCGCTTCTGCTTCACACATGCATGTGTGCATGCTCTCTGGGTCTCTGCGACATATGGATTAGCTAAAATTTCAATGTGTTTCTAAGGAGTAATAATTTTCCCGATCCCATGCGATGCGCCCATGGCTGTAGCTATATATGTGCCTGATGGTTTTTCAACTATTTTTTTCTGGATAAATAGAAAATAAATTGTTCCCCTGCAGATTGTTTGACTTTTCTTTTCTTTTTTTCTTGAAAGAGTGTGCTATCCACACACCCCTTTTTACTTTTCACATATCTCTTATTAATTATGTTTATTAATCTTCTTCAATTCATCTGATCTGACGATTGAAAACTAAAAAGGGGTGTAGATATCACACCCCTTCCTGAAACCCTCAGATAAATATGTCCTGTTATATTTAATAGCATGCATGCATGTTAATTTGACGTTGTGTAGTTGACTTGATGTTTATTCGCATATCTTGAATTTAGTTTTGTCATTTTTAAAACTAATTAAAATATGATCTTAACTTCTTTCGGGTATTAGTACAATGGATTCTTGGGGCTTTTCCCGCCATAGAGGGGTGTTGCTAGGGTGGCATGTATGTCGTGAGGTTCCTCAATATCGTCGTCTATTTTTATGTAGGTAGTAAAATGAAAATTGGGGACAACATTCATATGCTTAGTAACAATTTATTGGACCATATATTTAAAATAACGGTTAATCTCAGTTTATTACTCTGAAAGTTTTTGGTTTTCAACATTTCATACATTAAGTTTTTTTGTCCCAATTTAGTACCAAATTAACATAATTTTGAGACACTTTTGTACATCAGTTAATTTTTTGTTAGAACCTCCATTAACTGATGATGTGGCACCCACATCGACTATAATTGGGCGTCACGTGTCAATCTAGCCCAGATGAACATTACAAATAAAAAAAATTAAAGAAAAATTAGTATCCGGTCCCTAGTTCTTACTGTTCATTGATTAAGATCTTATTAGTTCTCAAATTTTGATTCAAGTCCCTATCATTAATGTGATAATGAATTTACATGTTTATTATATAATTTTTAATATAAAAATTAGTAATTAATTTATGGTTTAATACTCACACCTCTATTAAACTTCTAATTAATTTTCAATTCAAACATTTCCAAAATAAAAAAAAATTAAATTAAATTAAGTTTGTACCTATTAGTTTTTTTTATATATATAAAAAGATTCTCAATTTTTTAATGTTACATGTACCCATTCATATAATTTTTCAATTTTTTAAATCTTAAATGTACCCATTCTCAAATATATCAATTTGTTATATGTAAAATGTACCTTTTTTTAATATAAAATCCATTCAAATTTTTTAATCCATGTTTAGACTTATATGGGTACATTCTTTTTCGTTGATTTGAGAATGTATCCATGTTTTGGTACAATACCTTTTTTTGTTAATTTTGGTTACCCATACATATATGTATACACACACACACAATATAATAGAGAGTATAATTTATATTTTATTATTTTTAATCCCATAAATTATGGGTTTTATTTAAAATCTCATTAATATAGACAATTACAAATTTCAATTTTTAATTTTTAATTTAAAAATATAGTAACTTACATTATTATATTAATATCATGGACCTCAATAAAAAACTAAAAACTATCAAAGTTTCAATCAAAGAATATTGATAGCTAGGGACCACATCCAAAGTGTCCCAAAAATTAAATCTAAAAATATAAAAATTTTGAAAAACTAAACCTAAATCTCCTCCCTTTCTCTCTTCGACTCCCACCACAATGAACACCCCAGTACCCCACCAGCGCATCCATACCTCTATTCTTCCTAATCTTCACATAATCCTTCTTCCTCAATTTCTTTATGTAAATTCCTCTTCTCTCTCTAGATTGTGGCTGAAGAGC